GGCATAACTCTTAAACCGATCCAATCTCTCGTACAACCGAGAAACGATCGCCACGCATTCAAACGTACTCATTTCCTAAAAGAAAGAAGAAGCTAGAGACGCTGATGTCGTCTTAAAACCGACTCGCTCCTAGAAGTTCTCATAAATCAGACATACTCCAAGTCATCTCCGATCCACCATGGTCTTTAATCAGCCCGGATTGTCGATCATCCAAATCTTTCAAACGAAACTCGTCTTTCTTCTTTCGCCGAACATTTTTCCTCGCATCAAGAAAACGCTTTCTAAAATAAGCGGAAAAATATTCGGACGATGCAACGCCTCGTCGAAATCATCCCAAAAGCAAACGACAATCTAAAAACCGTCTAAGTGCTAAAGACTGGTCCAAACTGTCTGGGAAATAATCTCGAGGAATATACGGCATCTCTCGTCGCAATCATGCGGTTAGAAAATCTCTGCGAAAGTTCAGAGCGAAACTCGATTATTTGCCGAAGTCATAAAGATCTTCTCAAACTTGATAAAATAAGTATAAGAGTCGAAATCTTTAGGCATCAAAGCATTGATCTCATTTTCCGTCAAACCAAGTAAGTCACGGAATAATGTCAAGAACATTTTCGGCGAAAGAAAGATCGAGAACACAAAGCAGCAATAGAGAACACGTCCTCCCTTCTCGCTGACTGATCCTATTGCTGATCCTGTGATTCATTCCGCCCGAGAAACCCGCTAAAACATTTTGCGACTAGATCTCGGTGAAATAACTTTTGGTAAAACTCCACGAGTGACTCCGAAAAAACTATCACCGAAGAATCAAAAACTAAGCGGAAAGGTTTCTCGAAAAATCTGCGGAAAATTGTTATCCCAATGCGTCGTGCCGATTTACTAAATTCATCACCCGTTGCTTACGCGAGAAATCCTTCGTATAGTCAGGATCATGTCATAACGAAGTAACTGTCGAAAATGAACGTAACAGGTTGTGCGGAAAGTACATTCCTTATAGCGAAAACCAAGCTATACGATCCGGCACTAAGCGGCCAATCTAAACTTTTCCTCCTCGCGACACGATCCGAAAGATCTCGCTCTTTAGCCACTCGGTTCACGAGCATCCGCTCTCATTCCTCCCGATTACATCCGAGAATGAGACCGCCCCGCAAACGACTCCGCACGGGCTCTGCATCGAGCTTCTTAGGATCTGTCTCCCTCGAGTAAAAAAAAAACAACTTCCATACAAAGGAAAGTTTATACGAAACTTTCACCGTATAAATCAAACCTACAACGGAAAAACGTTTTCTATAAATACGGGCATACTTGGCATATCAAGCTCGACAAAGGCTACTTGGCTATTGTCCGATCGCGCTTCACTTCAATGCCAAGTTTACAAACCGACTCGACCTTTTCGATAGCACGAAAGTGTCGCGGTCTAATCCTCTACCAAATACGACCTTGGCTGTGCGGCTGAACACAACCTTCACTCCAAGCCAATACATTCAACGGATAATGCAAACTTGTCGAAAATCGGCTAAGTTCTGAATTCTCGCGATTCACTCTATTCCCGAAGCAAGTTGCCCACAAAATCCGACGTATAAGAAAACACTCGTATCAGAGCTCCTAAAGCCGTACGAATCTCGGAAGGTCAACACTTCACAAAGCACCGTAACGAAAAACGCTTCATTCGGGGAAACAACTTACACGACTCTCAGTCCTAATTGCTCTAGCACAAATCATAAAACTACCTAACATCCAAACAGGAATTTAAGTTTTAATTGTGAATATCCGCAAACGAACCAAAGTATTCCTCCAAAGCAGGGTTAAGACAAAACCCTCGCAACACCGCGCAACATCTTCGAGCCCGCAAACGATCCGAACACGAAACGCGGCATATAAAATAAAAACCAACTTTCGGCACTGCGAGACGTCGCAGACGCCCGGAGATTAGTTTTTCGACATAAATACCTTCCTCGATAAAGTCATTTTCTTGGAAGACCTAACAGTCCGTCCGCGACTATAAAATTACTCAAAACTTCTTAACGTACGCATCCTTCGCGAAGGCCAAAAAAACGAAAACATTTATCGCCTAAAAAGTTTGTTGCTGATCACAACAAACTCGCAACAATCCTAAACAAACTTAAGTTATCTCGTAGAGATAGCTCTCGAACACCCGACACAAGGGTAATAACGCTATAAAAGAAATCCAAACTTTTGGTCAGCACTTCCGGGCAACTTAGAAATTGTTCCCGGTGAGATGCTCGGTTCCAACCAGACGAAACGTATAAGCCGAGAACCTATCGCGGATTCTAAATCGGTATGGAATTAGGTTAAAATCACAACGGGCAAAACAAAAGCCGACTCGTCATCGCACAGCCTTAATCCGAAAGTAAACCTAGGTCTTGCCCTAAACCCAGCACACTGGTCGCTAACGTCTCAAGGCATGAATCGAGATCCTAAAGGCATGTCTCTTCGTCTATATCTAAACGCTCACTCGATTTACCAAACATCCTACGACGGGCAAACGAACAAGGCGATCTACTAAGGGAACGGAATGCGAGACGACAACTTGCGGACCACCCTCAATATCAACTCATAATCTTCCCGCTACATTCATACGAATAAAAACACGCTCTTAAAAACGCAAACTGATTTTTAATAAAGCCGCAAAAGCGGCAGGGACTCAGAGCCGCACACGGCCAGTCCAAAAACTATAACGGCCACGCTCGGCCAGACCAAACGAACTACGAAAGGCTTGATCCCCTCAAAAGGGTACGTAGGCAGCCTTCACAAGGCGCAACCCTAAAACTCGAGAATCGTTTTATAAAACTCGAGAATCGTTTTATAAAACTCGAAGAATCGTTTTATAAAACTCGAGAATCGTTTTATAAAACTCGAAGAATCATTTTATAGAACTCGAAGAATCGTTTTATAGAACTCGAGAATCGTTTTATAAAACTCGAGAATCGTTTTATAAAACTCGAGAATAGTTTTATAAAACTCGAAGAATTGTTTTATAAAACTCGAGAATCGTTTAATAAAACTCGAAGGATCGTTTTATAAAACCCGAGAATCATTTTATAAAACTCGAGAATCGTTTTATAAAACTCGAGGAATCGTTTTATAAAACTCGAGAATCGTTTTATAAAACTCGAAGAATCGTTTTATAAAACTCGAAGAATCGTTTTATAAAACTCGAAGAATCGTTTTATAAAACTCGAAGAATCGTTTTATAAAACTCGAAGAATCGTTTTATACAACTCGAGAATCGTTTTATAAAACTCGAAGAATCGTTTTATAAAACTCGAAGAATCGTTTTACGAAACCGCAAAAAACCGAAACAGCCATAAAACGCGAACTAGGAGACACTCCACTAGTTCGCCCATCGGTGAACTAAGCCGGCCCGGCTTAGTTCGCTGATGGGCGAATTTGGAGTCCCTCAAGTAGTTCGCCCATCGGCGAACTAAGCCGGCCCGACTTAGTTCGCCGATGGGCGAACTAAAAACTTCTCGGATATCCCGCGCCTCAATCTCCCGCATCCCCGATTCAAAACTTACGTCTTTCGACACAATCGCAATCTAAACTACGGCTAAAAATCTCCCGTTCCATCTCGATCCGACTTACCGTTCGAGTTTTACGATAAAAACCGTAAAACTTCGCTTTCTCGGAAAGAACTCGAGGAAATCATATAAAACGGCAACAGTTAAACGAAACACTGATCATTGCCTAAACTATACGATTTATTCGAGATTTCTCGTTAAAATCATAAAAACGTGTTTTTTTAATAAAAACGCCGAGTAAGTCGTAAAAACGTGTTTTTAATAAAAAAACACCGAGTAAGTCGTAAAAAACGTGTTTTTAATAAAAATTCGAGTAGATCGTAAAACCTTGCGATTAACTCGAGTAATTTATTAAAAACGACGTCAGATCAGGAAACGATCCCGTAAAAAGTCGGAAAACGGATTTATCGCAAAACGGCCTGGAAGGACCTAAAACGCGATAAAAACCCATCTCGCGATTTCAATGGAATCTAACCCGCAGATTTGATAACGTTTTGACGGTTTACTCGCAGAAGGAAAATAAAGGCAAGTTTGAAGATAAATAGAAGATTTCCGCGGAAGAAAAGGAAGGATCGAGAAAAATAGAAGATTCCCGAAATACTCAAATCCGGCAAAATGGAAAGATCGAACCGTCAAGGCAAGGAGTATATAAACCAGAGGCGTAGGGCAGAAGAGAGGGACGAGATCCAGAGCTCTCATCTGAGACTTTCACAACTTTTCTAGATTCAGAATTTTCCGCACTTAGAAACTTAGGCTTTTTCTCGACAAGTTCGGTTTCTATGACTGGCGCTCAATTACTAGACGAACTCGCCCAGGCAGTTCGATCTCTTGTCCAGCTCTATCAACTGAACTACGTTCGACTTGATCCCTGAAAGGGGTATGTAGGCAGCCTTTCATAAGGTTCAGTCTGAAATCATTCAAACCTTTTTTCCTATCTTTTTCCGTTTTTCGTTATCAAGATGCGACTCGACTAGATCTAGGGTTTTATGTTTGTAACTCGCTGATGGCCCCTGCGGCCAAAGCCTTTGTAATTCCTTGTAATGATCGCAACGTTCTTACGCGAATCGGAAATAAGATCGCCTTTCTTTATAAATTCGTTTTATTATGTTTTTCATATTTTTCCGCATTTATTTGGTTACTTGTCGTTGGCTCTCGCAGAGATCCGGTTTCTCTGGAAAATTAGGGTTTTCCTAAGTTTCCTTATTTAACGGAAATCGACAAGTGTGAATTTCGGTTCCCACATTGTTGATGGTGTAGTCGAGGAGAAAGACGAGAGAGCCAAAGGAAGAGACAGTGACTCTTGGTCCTGCTGTTCGCAATGGAGAGCAAGTCTTTGGTGTTGTTCACATCTTTGCTTCTTTCAATGACACTTTCATTGTTAGTAACCCAACCCTTCTTTCTGGAGTGTGTTTTTGCTTTCGATCAAAGTAAATATTTTACTGAAATTTTGTATAATCTGCAATGTTGCAGCACGTGACTGATTTGTCTGGACGTGAAACACTTGTTCCTATCACTGGTAAGCATCTTTCTCAACTCCCTCTCTCTAGTTTGTCTATACTTAAGAATCTATTGTTTTCTTCTAATTTGATCCCTAGCTGAGTTTATTAAGTCTCTCCACACTTTACAGCTTTAATGCATCCTATCTTCGTGTTTAGCAGCTAGATAAGAGCATGGTTAGATGCAGTAGTGTATGTTATTAAGTTCCTCTCCAAATGGGTGTTCTTTTGAGAAATGTGGTTATTATCTTTTGGGAAGTTGCATTGTTCTTTGATTGAATATTACCCAATTACTGATTCGATTTTATCTTATGTAGGTGGGATGAAGGTGAAAGCCGACAGAGATGAGTCCTCACCTTACGCTGCTATGCTTGCTGCCCAAGATGTAGCTCAGCGTTGCAAGGTAAAGGAGCCAAGAGAATATGCATTTCCAAGCTGATAGTTTTAAAAATCCTTTTATTTTGTAATTGTAATTGATCTTGTGCAATTTTTTACAGGAACTTGGAATCACTGCGATGCATGTGAAGCTTCGTGCCACTGGTGGTAACAAAACCAAGACCCCTGGTCCTGGTGCTCAGTCTGCTCTCAGAGCCCTTGCCCGTTCTGGCATGAAAATTGGTCGCATTGGTAAAAAAAAACTACAAAATCTTACATCTATAATGTTTTGGCATCTTAGAATGTGAACAAATCTCTTACTGTTCTTTTTTTGTTCGTAAACTCAGAGGATGTGACTCCAATCCCAACCGACAGTACTCGCAGAAAGGGTGGAATAAGAGGAAGGAGGC